AACAAACAAACATTCAGAGATCAAGTAACGGGACAAAACTTTTTGACGGTTATAAACAAAAAATCACGATTTAACGGTTATTTTAACTCCGATTTTGATGATTTTTTACAGCTATACTCCTTAACCCTATATGAATACAATGAACAAATTTGATTGTCAATTTAAAACATTTACACAAGTGGATACCACAAAAGAAAAAGGCAATGCAAGAACCCCAAAAGAAAAGCAAGAGGGAAAAAAAAAAACTTTGCACGACGCAAGTGTACTTGCATTGCGCAAAACAGCTTTGCACGACGTAAGTGCACCTGCGTCGTGCAAAGTTGTTAAAAAAGCGGTACAACATCTTGGTTTGGCACAAAAATCTTGTGCACGCAGAAAACGTCGTCGAAACGGCCTTTGTACGACGAAGACTGGAGTCACGCTTCGTTGCGCAAAGGCTGTTTGCGCGACTTTTTCTGTTTAGCGTCACGCAAACATATTTTGCGCAGACATATTTTTGTACTAGTGAAGGCCGTTTTTCACCTACGTACTGGTATGGAACTGCTTCCCTTTAATGTTTGGCACATGTTCTTGACGTATGGTCAAATTGGATATACATATCTGATTGTTGTATAGCTCCACCTAGCATATGGCCTTATCCAGAAATTTATATCTGTCAACCAATATAAATTAAAACATTGATGTAAGAGTCAATATAATATGCATATATATGCATGTGATCAGATCATCAGAGTGAGTGAGTGAGTGACTGTGAGTGTAAATTAGTAAACAAACTCATAAGTGCTAAGAGAAGATGATGAGCGAGTCAGTTACATATATGGAGTCCATGTGGCTTGTGACGATTGTGGAAAATTAATCATTACCCTGATATAGCTAGCTAGCTAGGGACAACATCTCACATAGTCACATGTTACAGAAAAGTGAAAATAGCTAGTTTAATTTGCCCACCGTTTTTCCGCATACACATTGGTGCATGTTAAGATATATTGTGTGGTTTGATCCAAGCCGCAAAGGAGATGAACAAGTTGATAGTTGGTTACAGATAACATTGTCTAGATGGGTACAATTAACCTAAAGAGAAAGTACTGTTTATTTGGAATACAAGATGAAATAATTTATGTGTTATAATATAAGTGAGTGGTAAGATTAATACGTCTCACTTCAGGCAGTGGCGAAGCTACGTGAGGGCGAGGAGTGGCGGCCACCACTCCCTTTGCTGGAAAACATGCTTAGGAGCTCTAGTTCAGCCCTTCTGCTCTCGTCGAAAATAAGAATTTCTGCTCCTGTGATTTGGTTTCTGCTGCTGCGCAGCAAAGATGGATTTGTTTTTTACCTCTTTTTTATTAGATTTTGGAGAAGGAAATCTGAGAAAAAATGTAGTTGCAGACTGACGGAACTTGCGAAGAAGATGGTTTATTTGATATTCCCTATACCGAACGGTGTCGTTTGGCAATGCTGACCCTTTTTTTATATTTTTCTCTCTTAAAAATCAAAACTAATTGTAGTGACACATTTGTTTACATTTTTCTCTCTTAAAAGTTAAAACTGATTGTACTGACACACCCTTCTCCTTCGGTCCCTTCTGCCCCACTTTGTTTACCCATTTCCCCCTCTTTTTTTTTTTTTCTATTCTGGCCGCACCTTTTTTTGGTTTGTTAATCAATTTCTTTCTTTTTTTATTTTATTTTTTTTTATTTTTTTTTATTTTTAATTATTATTCTTGTATGTATTTTTCCTCTTTTTTAAGACCCCAGCATATGTGTTTTAATGTGACATCCCGTTTCGCCCAAGGGAGTGATCCTTATATGTATATTCTCATCCCTACCTAGCACGAGACCTTTTGAGAGCTCACTGGCTTTGGGTTTCATCAGAACTTCAAAGTTAAGCGAGAAGGGGGCGAGAGTACTCCCAAGATGGGTGACCCATTGGGAAGTTCTCGAGTGAGTTCCCAGAAACAAAACCGTGAGGGCGTAGTTGGGGCCCAAAGCGGACAATATCGTGCTACGGTGGTAGAGTGGGCCTGGGAAGTGGTCCCGCCCGGGCCAGGATTTGACAATTTAGTATCAGAGCCTAACCCTGGTCGCGTGTGTGCTGACGAGGACGTCGGGCCCCTAAGGGGGGTGGATTGTGACATCCCGTTTTCGCCTAGGGGAGTGATCCTTATATGTATATTCTTATCCTTACCTAGCACGATGCCTTTTGGGAGCTCACTGGCTTTAGGTTCCATGGGAACTCTGAAGTTAAGCGAGTAGCACGCGAGAGCACTCCCATGATGGGTGACCCATTGGGAAGTTCTCGTGTGAGTTCCCAGAAACAAAATCATGAGGGCGTGGTCGGGGCCCAAAGCGGACAATATCGTGCTACGGTGGTGGAGCGGGCCTGGGAAGTGGTCCCCCCCGAGCCGGGATATGACAATTTGGTATCAGAGCCTAACCCTGATCGCGTGTGTGCCGACGAGGATGTTGGGCCCCTAAGGGGGGTGGATTGTGACATCCTGTTTCACTTAAGGGAGTAATCCTTATATGTATATTCTCATCCCTACCTAGCACGAGGCCTTTTGGGAGCTCACTGGCTTCGGGTTCCATGGGAACTCCGAAGTTAAGCGAGTAGCGCGCGAGAGCACTCCCAGGATGGGTGACCCATTGGGAAGTTCTCGTGTGAGTTCCCAGAAACAAAACCGTGAGGGTGTGGTCGGGGCCCGAAGTGGACAATATCGTGCTACGGTGGTGGAGCAGGCCTGGGAAGTGGTCCCCCCCCCGAGCCGGGATGTGACATTTAAACTCTCACATTATCTATAAATATTGTATTAATTTTTTAAAAATAATGTAAATATTGTTTAATGCTTATTTTACGATAAAAGAAATTCATTTAAATCCATTTAGGTTCCTGCCTAAATCTTACCTAGGTGCCTAGCTGCAGGCTCCAGTCCGCTGTTTGACTAGTGCTTAACATTTTTTTAGAATCTAATCTGAACCAATTTAAGCTTCTTACATGGCTTTAATATTACCGCTTACAATCGCTTTGGTGAAGAGATGGTTTTCTGTTATGAATATTGATTCAATATTTTGCACTTTCTAATGTGAAAGCAACCACTTCGATTGACGCTTGCACTCTTTTGAATTTCGCCCCTCCCCTCAGCAAATCCTGGCTTTGCCATTGACTTCAGGATACACCGAAAAAACTCTCGAACCTAATCATCATATATTAAATCTGATTGGCTAAGTTGAGAACATTTTATTTTGAATTATAGTGATCTCACAGTAATTTGTTGCCCTACAGTGCGCATGTGCCTAGTTATAGTGTTCATATTGGAGATCCTATCATGTAGGCACTAAAATAAATATGGTTCTTAGACGTTGGTGGCTTCTCATCAATCAAAGCCATGCCTTCATCTATTTTAATTAGATTGCATTATAACTACAATATGCTATCTATAGTTTTAATTATGTATCCTACCACTGTAAGGTAATAACCTCCTATTTAAAGAACTCCTTAATATATGTTTAAGAGCCAAGTATTTAAATTTAACAGTAAAAAATTTCAGTTTGTCACAACATATATATATATATATATATATATCTAGTGGAATGTCCGCTCGTATATATATCAATTGATATGGTCCAGGCTTGGTGCATTTCTAAGAGAGTCAATAATCGATAATATGCAATGCATGTGGGCATGCAATCATTGTCATCATCTAATAGGGAGAAGAAGATGCAGCTACCATTTGCCGCTGCAGATTGACCTCGGAGACTCTGACCAAGGCATTACTTCATGCATGCAATGCAAGGATTAAGGATCAATTTTTAATACACTACTGTCAGACCAGAAAAATAAAATAATATAAAATAGAATTTAGCTCCTCTTTTCAAAGCTTGCGCCACGAAGGATAGAGTTCGTCAGCAAACATTTGTTGCGTCACAAACTTCTTCGTCGCCCAAAATTTTTATTTAATTTTTTGCCGTAACGATTTGATGCGACGAATCTCTTAATTTGTTGCGCAAAGAACACTTAGGTGACAAAAACTGCATCATCATTTAAAATTTTGTCATACAAATAATTTTTTCTACTAGTGAAGAAATTGTTCCTTAATCTTTGCATGCATGCAATACTGCCTTGCTCTGAGCCTCAGAGATCAATCTGCAGCTGGCCAATGGTAGCTGCGTCTTCTCCCATATTAGATGGTAAGTTCATTTGTTTTATTATCTGGGACAGGATGGATTAATAGGTTACATTATATATCCCATTATTTCATACAATTTAGTACAAAATAAATCTGAATATTTTCATATTTCATCTTAAAATTATTTGATAAAAACATGGAGAGTAGCTCTAACATATTATTAGTCCTTTAGTTTCTCACACACCATTTGTTATTTATGACCATTAGATTGCATGTATCAAACGAAAATAACCGACATGATTAACCAAGTGTGTGTAAAAGACTAAATAAGATGTTTAGTTATCATTTCCCTAAATCAAAGCTCATTGCGGATAAATGTGAGACTTCACAAACTTTTGCTTTTGTAAAACTTGTATAGGAGTTGGTTTGTAATCCTGCCGCCTGAGCTGGACAACATTGGCAACCCGAACAATGCCTCAAAACAATGAGATCAAGGAAGCCTTCAATGAATTTCATGAACTGGTCTAGAATTGAATTGCATCAACTGTTGGGCAATCAAAATTTTGTCGCAAACATCATATTCTGTTTATTAGCATTCTGCATTTTCTTGTTCCTACACTGGTAGTTCAAAATTAGACCATAAAGGAGGTAGATATTAAGGAATAAGGATGAAGAATTTAACTAAAAGTTAAAGATATATCTTGGAATGATAATTCAAAGAAATAAATAAATAAATGAAAGAAGAAAAAAGAACAGACTGATAACTCATTGGTCTCAAGTGTACTGCTTTCAATTGTAGAATGAAGTTAAAAAGAATGACTTGGTTAAATAATTGACCATCATCAGGATTCAGGTCATATACAGAATCAATGATTATTTAAGAACAATTTAGACATGAAGTTAAACTGATGAAGTAGTCTTCACTGCATGGAATTGTGAGTCCACCTGTAGGATGATCATATCCAAACTCTTCCTTAGCCTTGCTTAACAAGTCTTGGAACAAAGGGTGGTTCAAATATGATATTGGAATCACAAATCTCTTCTCTTCGCCATCTCCAACATAAACCGCAAAGTGGCCCTTCGGGACCTCAGTACTAGAACTGTCTACAGCTGATCCATTTCTTGCTGAAAGAGTTCTCAGTGTCTGCTTGGCATGAGCTGCCCCATCAACTTGATTTCCATCTGTATAGGATTTTTAAATAAACAAATGCACCTCGAAGATCAAATAAAAAAGTTTGAGACTTGGAGTGATTAAGTGAGAAAGGCAGATTTGGGTTGAATTGGCCTGTTAGTACCTCAATATATAGAGATGGACTTCAAACCTTAAAATGGATAAAACTGTAACATCCCTATTGAGAATGTTGTGAGAAACATATCAGGTGAAGGACTCGGTGAAGTTTCACATTGACTTTGCCTTAATTAGCCAAGACATCCTGCCCTACTAAACTTCAAGAACCAATAAAGAGTGGTGCAAATTGATGGATATATGGAGTGAGCCCCGATACACGCCAAGTGGGCTTCTTCCGAATTTCATTTCAATAATCTGGACCATGTACTTTTTAATTCTTTATTCAACAATTATATATCCTTGAAAAAAATTAGACAAATTCAAAATCAATCAGACACTTAAGCCAAATAATTGAACAAATGCATAAACAGACGAACATGGTATTTCAACAAAATGCTAAAACGATGACCAATTAAATTGAGTGGTTAAATGATTTTGAACTTGACTGATTTTTTGCGACAACCATCTTTGAAGGAAGACTTTCAAAACTAGTCAGTTTAAATTATTAAAATCCAATGCAGAGTGGTCAATAAAGGTTGTCCCCCAAAAATGCATATTTGACGAATATCTCTGAATTGAAACTCCCTAAATACAGAGTTACCTGAGTAATGTTTCAACTAATAAAGTAGAGACCTTTTTCTGCGAGCCATGTTCTTGACAATGGAGGCCAGGATCCAATTAAAGAGGATATTCTGAGTCTCCGACTTATTATGCACATACTGAAAGCACTGAACTTGGACTTAGAGGGTGCTGTTCAGTAGCTTTTTACACTGACAACCATCAGAGTAAGCCTTTTTGTGGTGACAAGCTCTCAGAAGTAAGGCAATACATTGGTTTCTACTTTCTTCTTAGACATTTCCATTTGGATTAGCTAAACCATTATTTGGGACCCCTCTTGACTCATTCACATTGACTGTCTTGGTGGAGTGAGTCGAGTTGAACCAATCATCATCCAAGAAATCTCAAGAAGCTTTTCAAATAACAATCATATATCTAATTTCTGATATAAATAAATTTCTATCCTTTTATGTTTTATTTTTTATTTTTTTACTTTTTGTAAACAACTGTTTGAGTTTCTGTTGTTTACATTGTTTATTATGTACTTGTGAAGCATATACCAGGTTCTGTCATGTTTAATGAAAGTGTAAATTTTATTGTTTTCTATGTCATATTTTTTGGTCCATCCACGATATCACAGCTGCATAAGATTCTATTAGTAAGTACAAAAGTTATTTTATTAGGTTTGTTGTAAATTAAACTCCTTTTGGAAAGGACTAGGAATGCATGAATATTACAGAGAACTAAATCAACATAGATTTTGTATGAAACATTTTTTTGCCGAGGATCATGACTGTTTGTCTGAGACTCTGAGGAGGGATCAAATGTATGTATATATTGTGGTTTATAGAACACTTGGTCTTGAAACAGAGAAATATTTATAAATAAAACAAATGTTTGTTGAAGAAACTTAGATTAAAAAAAAAAGCCTTGTGTTATAAGCTAAAATTGAACCATGACTCCTGTTAGAATGACACGTCCCGATCCAGATATTCCCCGTATATCAGGATAGGCACATGCTGACCGACACCCAAGGGTGACGAAAGCCATTTATTGAGTGCAGAAGCTGAAAACAAGGGATAGATAAGACTTCTAAATTTAAATATAAGTCAAAATGCAAGTAAGGAACGTGTTCAGAGCATACAACTAACTGGAATACTAAAAAGAAATAATATAAAATTGAATGAATAAGAGGATGGGTCCTACACCGAGAGGACTCGAAGATGTCGATGCGGAAGTATCTTGATGTTGGGATTGTATGTCTCAATTCTAAGTCCTAAATGAGGCACAAAACAAACATGAGTGAACCAAGTTGATATATACACACACACACACACACACACATATAATAATAATAATAATAATAATAATAATAATAATAATAATAATAATAATAATAATAATAAAACAGTTATCAACATACTAACCCTCAGGTTTTATGAAAACACATATATCATGATAAACATAGGTTTTTCGAAACCTAGCATGCCGTGCAATGTCTTAATCATAACTCATATATATTGTAATCACTTGTGAATGTCCAATATCCCCCAGGCCCCATGCCAACTCCTCGGCTCTGTGCCAAATGCTAGAGGAAAATCACCCCCAGGCCCCGTGCCAGCTCCCTGTCCCTGTGCTAATTGACAGAGGAAAAGCACTTCAGGCCCTATGCCAACACCATAACCGTCGCTCGGGACGGACCGGAATCTATCCCTCGTCCCGTAGCGGAATTGGGACCACTAGATAAGTAAAAAATCATTGAACATACATATATTTGAAAAGCAACTTCATAGTATAAAGTCATCCATCATTTATACTATAAAGAGGTGTTCGAAACATGTTCTAAATATGATATCATCATCCATCAAATATTCTATAATGAACACGAGTTATAGGAAAAATAGCAATAATTCAAAATAGCCTCGGTAAGCATGTTATCTCATAAAACGTAATCATTAAATCATGCTTTTCATGTATGCATTTCTACTATTAAAACATGCATTTTTAGAAGGGGTCCATTCACCGTACACCGTTGGTGCAAAGCTGTACTGATAGGAGCATATTCATGCGACTTAATTAGCTTGTTCTCGTGCATTTATGTTGTGTTTTCTTAGTTATTTTAGTGTTTAAAGTCACTTTTGTGTATTTTCAGATTATAAGGCCAAAGTGTGCAAGAAGATGCAAATTGGAGCCTTTTGGAGCAAAAGAGGAATGAATGAGTTGAAGACTTGAAGAAACGATGAATTCCTACTCCAACGATGAATTCCTACCAAAATGAGGATTCCTACTCAAACAAGGATTCCTACTTGAAGTAGGAAAGTTAACCCTAGGTTTCCCGTTTTGGTAACCTTTCCTAAACTTAAACGTCCGTATTTTCTAGCCACTTTGAAGGCCTTGTATGCACTTTAGGACACAAAACAAAGGCCCTAGCCCCCTTAAACCCCTTTGCCGTGCCTTAACCCTTCTTCCCTTCCCTTGCCGTGCAAGGGGGGCAATTTTGTCCTAGGTTTGCACTTAAAACACATGCTCCTAACCCTAGCCGCACCTTGCCTTTTTAATTTCTGATTTTTTTCCTAATTCTAGCAGCCTTTAAATTAATTTTAGTTAATAAAAATAAGCTAGGGTTTTGTTTTCTGAAAATATATAAACTAAACCTATAAGCCGCAGCCACTATCCCCTTTCCCCTTCAATCTGCCATTTTTCCATCCATTCCAGCAATCTCCCTTCAATCCCCAGCCACCATCACCCAAATTCCATACTGCCGCAGCCTTCCCACCATTGCAGCAACCATTCCCAACCTTCCAGCCACCATCCACACCTCCATACACCTTCCCACCACCTTGCCGCACCACCATATCCCCATAAACCCATCCCTAAACCAGAAAAACATCCAAAAACCCCCTAAACCATCTCTGCCGCAGCAAGGAGAAGAAGAAAGAGGAGCTTAGACGCACAGAATTCAAGTGGATTCGTTGGGCGTTCTAGGTGTAATCAATCTTTTGTTCTTTATGTTTAATTTCAATTTTGTTTCTCTTTCTGTGAACATGAGAGGCTAAATCCCTAGTTAGCTAGGGGGTGATTCAAAACCATGTTTATGCTTGCAATATGAATTGATTACCTTTGGTTGGAATTTCATGAGTTATGGATTCAATTCGTTTAACTGCTTGATTGATAACTTATTTGTGTATGTTTATTGAGAGTGCACGCTTAATTTTCATGCATGAATATGATGCTAGAGTATATGTGAGTTTCACCTAATAGTTACAAACTTATATTCACAAGTAGTGGAGGTTGCTTATAAACAATCGCGTTAAATGAATTCTTGGCACTAGTTTCATGCTCATCATAGTAACGAATGCCTCGTCAACACTTATAGTTTTCATGATGCTTAATGATCTTTGATTGTATCTTTATTGTGCTTTTCACGTAAAGGACTTTTGGAGAATGTTTTGAATTGCGTATGCGCTGTCCCATCCAATTCATTAACTTAAGGAGAACTTGAAGGTTAATTTAAGCGGATCTAATTAACCCGGGGTGTTGAGTTTCATAATTCATCGAAAGACCAACTGAAAATCATCTTGTATGCAAGTGTGACATGTGTGGAGAAGAACCTTCTAGCTAGCATTCATCCATATTTTCATCAAATTCATATTTAAAATCTGTTTGAATTACATTCTGTGCATTTTATTTAATTTCGTCAAAAACTCAATCCCCCTTTACTTTAGTGTTCAAATTAGTTAGAAAGTGTCTTAGTTTGTGTTTCTAAGTGTTTTGATTCAATTTATTACCCAAATTCGTCCAAATCAGTCAAAGTGCTCAAAACTGCCCAGATTGTGTTTTTAAGGCAGTTTTGAGTGTTTTGGGTGCTGTTTGAGTCTTTTGGTTTGTTTGAGTGTTTTAAGTGTTTAAGTTTGCATTCTTTGAGTCTAGTTTAGTGTTTTAAACTTTGTTTTACGTTTTTGAGTCAGTTTCCAAGTGATTTAGTAATCCCTCCTAATCCCCGGTTTAGAACGATCCCTACTTATACATATACTACAATTGTCAAAAGAGGGTTTTAATTTGTGTGTTAAGTTAATTTTCGCATCATGTACCAAAAAGGAACAACGGAATCGTCACTATTAATTGCACCTATGCACATAAAGGGTACATTTAGCCTAGAAGGGTCTCGAACGAAAACCCAAAAAGTCAACGTTGACCGGGTCGTGGGTCAAAGTCAATGGGTCGGGTCAACCGAGTCTAGGGTCTTGGGTTAAGGAAATGGGTTGGGCCGGTTAGGGTTAAATGAGTTTAGCTATTTAGGTGGATTTGAATTTAGTGGGTTTAGGTTTAGGTTTTGTGTTACTCAGGCCTAGGTGGGAGACCCAAAGGCTGAGGCCTTAGGTTTTAAAAGAAAATGGCTGAGGGAAATTGGGTTTAGGGCATGGGCTCAAGGCCCGCAACAGCTCACGGCCCAAAGGCCTTTAACAAATAAATTAAAACAAAACAAATAATAAAAAGGGGCTTGGGCTTAGGTTTGAAACGAGCCTAAGGCCTAATGTTCTTTGAAGTGGCCTGAAAGGCCTAAGTTCTTTGGGTTTCTGGGCTAAAGGGTTTAGGCTTTAGGTTTTAACGGGCCAAAGCCCAATGTTGGTCATGACCTAAAGGGCCTGGGTTTGTGGGTCGTCGAACCTCGAGAAGAAGAAGGCCAGAATTCGAACTGAAATTAGACAAACTTTAAACGTTCATAACTTTGTCAATAATCAACGAAATCAAGTGATTCGAAAACAAAAATCATATTTCTCGAAGAGATGAAGAGAATGGTATCTTGCACGATGTCTAACTCACCATGGTTTGGTCGGAAAACACCTCGAAAGACGTAGAGGTCGCCGAAAACTGGGTGAGATTCAAATGAGTATAACTTTTTCAATACTCAACGAAATTGGATGAAATAGAAAGGAAAGTTGTAGTACTCAGCGAGACGAAGAGATTTATACCTTGTACACTGCCAACTCACCATTGTTTGCCCAAAAATTGGCTCGAAAACCGTCAGATTAGCTGATAAAACTAGGAAAACACCTCCCCGAGTTGTTCTGTGCTATATCCTCAATCCACAAGCATATTTTAAGTTAGATTTAGGCCACAAGGATGAAAATGAGAAGAGTTCAAGTGTCCCGAGGCTTACCCAAATCGGAGGGATGAGAAACCTCACCGAAATCCTTCCTCTATATCGACACTCGATGATTCTTGCATCTTCGTCGAGTTTTAAGGATGCAGGAAGGGAAACAAAGGATGGTGGTGGTTCAACAGTAGTGTGTATGTGTGTTTGTGGGCCTTGATCGTCGAGGAGGAGAGAGCATAGAGAGTTGAGGGAGAGAGCTGAGATAGAAAGAGACAGAGGAGAGAGAGAGAAGGAGAGAGGAAAGGGAGAGTGAGCTGAAGGAGAGAAAGAGAATTTTTTTTTAGAAAAACTAAAAGAAAGGGAAAAGGAACGAGACCTGGATTGTCTGCCCTCCCCCATCCCATGCCCTTCCTATCCCCTCCTATTTAAACGGTCACGGTTAAGCCATGTCAACATTTTATATTAATTTTTTTTTTTATAGAAATGATAAGACAAAAAGGAATGGGAATATAAAATATTAACGTGGCTTAACCGTGATCGTTCAAATAGGAGGGGATGGAAGGGGATGGGATATGGGAGGGCAGACAATCCAGGTCCCTAGAACACTCTTAAGTCCCGTCCCCTTTATTAATTCAACAATATTTTAATTTCTTATTCAACCTCTCTCTGGACTCTCTTTGGAGAGTTCTTTCTTTCTTCGTTTAGTTTTGTCCCCCATAAAACAATCATTTTCTTCACCTTTTGTTTTGCAAAACTACAACCTTCAAAATCATTTTTTTTCTGTGCAAAAATCGTCCCCAAAACTAATCTCTCCTCCTTCTTTGTCTCTCCATTTCTCTTCGTCCTAAAGCTACTTTCTCCCTTTCTCTATCCATTTGTCTCTGGAATTTTCTGGCAAAAAGGAAAACTTTCTAGGAATTTTCGAGAATAAGGAAGAAATTTTCTATTGGGATTGTTGTTATTATCATTTTCCATTTTTTTTTTTCGAATTTTGGTGTTGAGATTTAGGCAGTGGTGCAGCTGGGTTTCAGATCTGAGAAATGGGTAGGCAAATGGAGTTGCCCAGAAGCTGCTTGCAGACTTGTAGCATTCATAAACTAGCAGTGTGTGATAGTCATTGGAGATGGGATTAGCAATTGCATGGTTTTTCGGGGGTTTATCTAAGACCGGCTAGTCCCTCCTTTAGTCGAAGCGAGTGAGAGCTAGTCTCATTAAACCGAGACCCTCCAGAAAACAACACGGGATTGGACTAATCCTCAGTTCAGTCCAATCCAATCCAGTGAGTTTTAGTGAGGAGAAACAAACATCCCCTAAAAGTTTCCTCACATTTGAAGACCAGATAGGGACTGCCCTTGTTCATTTTTTTAATCATAAATTCTGAATTTATCATGTAAAATTTGACTCATATCAACATTGGGACCCACCTCTATTATGTTGTCTTTTCTCAATTTAAATAGGCCCCAATTTCTTCCTGTTACTTCCACCATTTTTTTTTTTTTTTTCAGATAGGTTGTTTTGCACATCTTGACAGTTGCCCTTCAATTTAGTTGTCGCCATTCAATTTTCCATTGCATTATTTTAATAGCTATATTTATTTCTTTCCAATTGGCCGTTGGTGCTCTTTCAATTCTCCTGTGAATACCAAATTCATCTAACTAAAGTTTACCACAACTTCATCTTCTATACTCATTTCTCTCATTTCATACAATTTATTTTGCTTAGTTTGTCAATTTATTTTATCCATCAATGACTGGTTCAAGTGAGGCTCCAACCAAGCGTAGAAATTACTCAAGTGAGGCTCCAACCAAAGTGTAACAAGTGAGTATGTTAGGCTTCTAGCACCTCATTTTTCTCCTCCACCGGCCATGATCTCGTTGAATACTTTTGAAACGCGACCAAAATTTCATCAAAGATCGGCCATTCCGAATAACAGGATCTTCACTAATCGCTATATAATCACGACATAGAGCAACATCATCTTCAATTGAGTAATTTCCACCCTTGGTTAGAGCCTCACTTGAACCAGCCATTGATGGTTAAATAAGTTGACAAACTACGCAAAATAAATTGATGAAATGAGAGATGAATATAGAATATGAAGTTGTGTTAAATTTTGGTTAGATGAATTTAGCATTTATAGGAGAATTGAAAGAGCACAACGCTCAAATTGGAAAGAAATAATTGGAGCTATTAAAATAATGCAATGGTAAAATTGAAAGGCAACGGTTACATTGTGCAAAACAACAACCTATTTGAAAAACAAAAATGTAAGTACGATAAGTAAGAAAAGCTCCTTAAAGGTTAGTTTTTTCGACTCCTTCTTGTAAACTAAAACAAGAGAGAGAATTGAAAAAAGCAAGCTTTTCTTGACTTTTACTCATTGTGAGTTTTTGTTCTCCCCTTTGTGGGAGTGAGTTTCAGTTTGTTGTTCTGAATGTGCTTCTGCTGGGTTTTCTGTTGTTTTTGTTACTTCCTTACTTGGTCTCGGTGTAATTTCTTCTATCTTCCGTGGGTGTTTCTTATTAACCAATGATTAGCTGAGTCAAGTTAGTTAAAAGAAAGGTAGTTAGAGTTGAGGTTGTTAAGGAGGATAAGATGGTAATTGAGTAAAGAGGTTAGAGGGTAATATTGTAATTGTGATTGTGACTTGTTAGTACATATAGCCACTTAGTCTTCCACATGAAGTAAGAAAGCTTTTGTAAGAATTCTTCACTTTACTAAGAAATCTGAGAATCTTTTACTCTTCTACTTTGCTCATAATCTTTGTATTCTTTAGAGATTCATATTTCTGTTAACATGGTATCATCGCCGGTCTTGGTTTGTCGCCATTTCCGATCCTGAAGAAATCTTCCGCTGTTATTCGGTGTGGGTTCTGGGCGATCAGAGGTCAGACGACTGGGTTTCTGGCGTTTGGAATCGCACAGGCTTCAGATTTTGGGGTATTTGCGTTGTGTATCAGGTGATATTGTTTCTGTTCGTAATGCAATAGTGTGTGGATGTTATGAAATTGTGATAGTTGTGATTTGTATGAGATCTGGGTTTGGGTTTTAGTTCTTGATGTGTTGATTTCAGGAAGTATCATTCTTTCTGTGTATCTTGGAGTATCATTCTCTAAGAATTGAAGTGTGTGTTGACGAAAGTTTCTTGTTTTTGTGGATCTTGGAGTATCATTCTCCTATGACATTGTGAATCTTGGAGTGTCAATCTCCTCAGAAATCAAGAGTTTAGTATTTCTTGGTGTGAATTTGTTTGTTGAGTGATATTCTTATTGCATTGGTGTCTAAAGATGGCGTCTTCATCGTTTAAAGTCGAGAATTTACTGGGAATGTTAACTATAAAGTTGCGGGATGATAATTTTGTTAAATGGGCGTTCCAATTTCAGGCAGTTCTTAAAGGCTATAAGCTTTTTGGCTATTTTGATGGTACAATAGGGTGTCCACCAAAGTATGTGGTTAATACAGAATCAGGGATATCATCTGAGGCTACATCGGGTTATGTTGAATGGGAGTCGATGAATATGGCGCTAGTAAGCTTATTACTGGCAACTCTTACAGATGAGGCTATGGAGTATGTTTTGGGGTGTAGAACTGCATTTGAGGCTTGGAATAATCTGGTGGATAGGTATGCATCAGTTTCTAAGTCTAGAGTGAATCATCTTAAAACTAAATTGCATACTATTCAAAAGGGTACAGATACTGTTGATAAATATTTGTTGTGATTGAAGAGTATTAGGGATCAATTAACTGCAGCTGGTGAGTTAATTTCTGATAATGACATTATAATTGCGGGCTTGACAGGTTTGCCTAAGGAGTATTCTGTTATAAGAACTGTGATATTGGCTAGGGAGTCTTCTATTACTTTAAAAGAATTCAGGGCACAGTTGTTGGGTGCTGAGAAGGAAATTGAGGGTAAAATAAACTTGTTGTCTCAAAATATGTCAGCTTTATATGTTCATGGTATGAATTCTTCTGGTGTTGGATCTTCCTCCGGGTCTGGTTCCACATCTCATCCTGCAGAGCATAGTCATATTCCTTCAACTACTAGAGGTACTATAACTCAGTCTCTTTATCCTGAAGCTGCACAACCAGTTCTTCCTGCATCACAACCATGCTTGCAGCCATTTCCGCAGCAGTTTTCCCACCCATTTCCTCCTGATCCTTCCACATTTTATCCACCTTCTTAGGGATTTGGTTTTATGAGTCCTAATACTGGTCCACGATCTCAGTTTGGACATAAGCCATTCCATGGTTCAAGCTACAGGGATAACAACAATTTCAAGTCAACTGGTGGGTATAAAGGCAAATCTTTTAACTCTGGTAGTGCATCTGCATTTCCAGCTAATACTACAAGGCAGAATGGATCTAATGCGTGGTCTGGAAGCACTGATACTCGATCCAATGTGGTTGTTGAATGTTAGATATGTAATAAACGGGGTCACACTGCAGTGAACTGTTTTCGAAGGAATTCAACTATGCCAACACTAGGTTTCATTGTTGAGTGTCAGATATATGGAAAGAGGGGTCATTCTGCTCTGGAATGTTATCACAGAAGTAACTATGCTTATCAAGCACAACCACCACCACCATCTTTCAATGCTATGGCTGCACAACATTCAACAGAATTTAGTCCTAATGATGCTTGGATAGTTGACTCTGGAGCTTCTCATCACATCACTGCCGATATTGCCTCTCTCAATCAAGTTACACCATTCCAAGGTTCCGAAACAATAACTGTTGGCAATGGCACAGGGTTATCTATTGCTAATACTGGCTCCATAATTCTGTCAATGTGGTGTGTCAGTATATGACTAATCCAACAGATATGCACATGCATCTGGTGAAGCGCATCCTGAGATATCTGCAGGGAACTTTAGACTGTGGTTTAACGTATACCAGATCATCTGATTTTACCATTGCTGCATATTCTGATTCCGATTGGGCAGCAGATATAAATACACGCAGGTCTATTACTGGTTTTGTTGTGTTTCTTGGATCTAATCCTGTCTCATGGCAATCTAAGAAACAAGCAACAGTTTCTCAAAGTTCAACCGAAGCTGAATACAAAGCTTTAGCTCACCGTGCCTCTGATGTATATTGGATACGGTCATTACTCAGAAATGTGCATCAGTTTCTTCCACTCCCACCTAAACTTCATTGTGATAATCTTTCTGCTTTGGCTCTGTGCTCCAATCCAGTGTTTCATTCTCGGATCAAACATTTGGATACCGATTTTCATTTTGTTCGAGAAAAAGTCCAGAAAGGTGATATCACCGTGCAGTACATACCAACTGATGAGCAGGTTGCAGATGTTTTTACTAAGGGTCTTCACAGTCCAATCTTTGTAAAACACTGTCTTCATCTTACTCTGGGTGCTTTCAAGACAAAGGTGCTGAGTAGTCATCAACCCTTGTTGGCAACAGAAAGTAGTGCAGCTTCATCACAGGGTCACGGCAACTTCCAACCATAGCTTGGGCCTTTCCCCAGCTATGTTTGAGGAGGGAGTATTAACCAATGATTATCTGAGTCAAGTTAGTTAAAAGAAAGGTAGTTAGAGTTGAGGTTGTTAAGGAGGATAAGATGGTAATTGAGTAAGGAGGTTAGAGGGTAATATTGTAATTGTGATTGTGACTTGTTAGTACATATAGCCACTTAGTCTTCCACATGAAGTAAGAAAGCTTTTGTAAGAATTCTTCACTTTACTAAGAAATCTGAGAATCCTTTACTCTTCTACTTTGCTCATAATCTTTGTATTCTTTAGAGATTCATATTTCTATTAACATTTCTGAGTTTTTTGAGGTTTTGGTTTTATCCTTTGATTCGGATTTGATTGGGTTGGTTGGGTGTGGAGTGGTCTGGGATCTGGATGATTATGGATGACTTCTGGGACTTGTCCCATCTAGTCTTTACGTGGGCTGTCATCTGGGGGGGGGGGTAGGGGGCTTTCAATGGCGTACTTTAATCTGAAGGTTGGTGGAATTAAGTGTAGGAAGCTGAGTAAAAATCATCTTTTTTTAGGAGCAGTTATTGAGATAGTTGAAAGTTCACCTACTAGAGCAGACACAGAAGGTGGTTTGGTCTTTTTCTCAAGAATAGTCAAAAGAACTTGTTGTATTGGCAAAAGAAACAAAAACCAAAAACTGGTGTGTCAAGGTCAAGAAATCTTTCTTTTTGTCTTCATCAACACTCGATATTAGAAAACCATGAGTAATGTTACTGATACTTATCGGGGTAAGGAGACAGTGGCGGTGGAGGAGCTTGTAGTACATTTAGAGGAATTATTGGAATTAACAACGATGGAGCATGGTGTTAAATTAGTGGGGCCTGTGTTACATGATAAGCCAGTGAATAAGTGGGGGGTTCGAAACATACTGAGAGCTGCTTGGAAAGAGATGGGAGAGGTACAAATCAAGTGGGTGAAAGACAATATCTTTATTATAATTGTTCCGAATGAGAGCTCAGCAAGAAAAATTCTATTTCAGGTCCCTTGGGTATTATGAAGAAAAACTTTTCAGTTAGAAAGTGGCCCTAGAAATTAGCTTTAGAGGAAGTCCACTGGGAAATAGTCTCGTTTTGGGTTCAAATTAGAGGTGTTCCATTATGTCTAAGTATGAAATCAAACATCAAGAAGTTGGTGCGGCGATTGGGCAACTGGAAAAGCTGGAGGATCCATCTGCGGCCCGTGGTTTTTTGCGAGTACTTATGATCGTTGATACAACCAAACCTCTTATCACAGGTTGTTGGCTGCCCAGGAAACAGAAACATGACACCTGGATCAAATTTAGGTATGAAAGATTGCAGGATTTCTGTTATAGGTGTGGAAGAATTAGGCATATGAACACGAAGTGTTCCTTTGAACCTAGAATGGGTGGAGGAGTTGGTTTTGGAGAATGGATTAAAGTTGCTCCGATTCGAGAAATCTAGGATAATCTAAGACCTGCTCAAAGTAGTCATTGCAAAAGGCGGATGGCTGGAATGAAGAGGTTGGTAGAACAGGGTGGAGGATCGCAGCGCGTGAGGGGCACGGAGGTGCA